TTTTTTTCCATTTTGCAAAGGCGAAAAAAGCATGAATGATTGATCAGCTGAACACCTGACAGTCTGAAGTTTAGAAGTTTTCAAGTTTCTGCAACGACGTGCAGCTGCGAAAGGAATTATTTTGTTTCTTTCATCCATCAAACACTTTTTGCCTGCAGACTATGTCAAATCGCCTCTAATTCCCACTTGGTAGTAGTATAAGACCTGGGGCCACTATCATAGCCCTGAAGGGATGTCTGTATGACACTTGCGCACTAATTGGCCCTTCTGGGGCGTGAGAGCGTGAGATACGGAGGTCTGATGCCGCACATTTCGAATACGCGCCATTATGGTCCCGCAGCGAGCGCAATGTTGACCGCGTATCGATCGCCGCCCGCGTCTGCGAGCAGTTTTAGGCCGTCGACGGCGGTTTTCTCCTCGCTCTTTCTCCTCTTTGGTGTTGTGTCTCTTTTGGTGGTGGTGGTTCGTCTTCATTATTAGTAGATCCTTTATGCTTTTCCACTCGCTTCGGGTTGGACTTGCTCGTCTTGCACTCGCCGACGGTGCAGTTGCGACCACATCACGTCGAATTTTGTGTACAACCTCAGCTCGAGCTCCGACTGACGACAGCAAGCAGCAACAGCAGCAGTTCGATCGTTATACAAGGCAATCCGACGGTCCACTTACTGATCAAAAGAAAGCATTTCAACAACATCACATTAAGAAGATGAGAGATACACAATAGTGAGTGGTTTTTGATTTCTTCATTGTGGCGATGAGTCATCGTCATTTTTCGCTTTCTCAGTGTAGTAAGGCGTTTTTTTCTCTATGTCAGTGTTTGAGTTGTAGACAGAAAACTTGAAATGCATGATTTTTTTTTTGTGGAAGGTCGAGTGTTTGTGCAAGCGCGCAGAGGCAATCAATTTATATATTTCAAGGAACGCGTAAACAAGCTTACTATCTTTATTTGGGTTGACGTAGAAATTTAGTAATGTCAGAACTCTATATTGTAGGATGACGTCATAGGGTCATGGTACCTTGAAGGCACCGTC